CATTGTACAACGTACCGAATTAACAAAACGATAACAAAATATCTTATCAAAACAGATCTTATCAAAAAACTATCTTATCTAAAATGAAACAAACAAAACAGATAAACTAACTCGGATATCTCTAAAATTTAAGATTATCCAACAAAACTCCCCCATAAGCTTAAATTTCTCCTTCTTCTTTCATTCCGAGTAACTTCCTTAACTCCTGAAATGTTGTTGCAGGAAATGGTTTTGTGAAAATATCAACTACTTGCTCTTTACTTCCTACGTGTTCGAGCTCCACGCTTCCTTCTTTCGCCTTCTCCATGATGAAATGAAATCGGACGTCGATGTGCTTACTTCTCTCGTGATTGATTGGATTTTTGGCTAACTCGATTGCCGACCTGTTATCTACTCGGATCAACACTTTCTCAGCTTTCATAATCTCTAGTTTGCTTAGCAAGTTTCTAAGCCAAACTGCATGTTGGACACTCCAAGATACTGCTACATACTCGGCTTCACACGTCTCACTTTTCTCAATTGATCCGATCTCCATTGATCCGATCTCCTCATCCATTACTTGCTTCCATCTCTCATCAAGTACGGGCTCTTTAAATTTTATATCTTTTGTTCCTGTCAATAGACATACTACATGTAACTCGTCAGTGGAGTTGCAGATGTCTTGCAAGCTCCGAGTTCTAAGCTGCTCAGGTTCATCATCTTCCTCAGAATGCTCATTGGTCCTATCCGAGCTTCTCCCTATCATCTCCGAGCTCTCCCTCTCAGAGTTCGAGCTCCCCGAAGTCTTTTCAGAGTTACTCCAGCTCCACTCACTTTCCTCATCTACCTGGACATCTCGACTTACCCGAATTTTGCCTCTAACAGGGTTGTACAATTTGTAGGCTTTTGCCTTTTCATCAATACCCGATCAAAATATACTTCTTGCTCCTATCATCAAGCTTCGTTCTGAGCTAAGCTGGAACATGACCGTAAGCAAGGCTTCCGAAGATCTTGAAGTGATGTATACTCGGTTTTTGTCCACTCCATGCTTCTTGAGGTGTCACATCATCCAATTTTGAATGTGGGCACCTGTTCTGTATATATAGCACACTACACTGCCTCTTCCCAAAACTTCTCAGGCATATTCTTCCCTTTAAGCATAGCTCGGACCATATCAAGAATAGTCCGATTCTTTCTTTCAACTACTCCATTTTGTTGTCATGAATATGGAGCTGTGAAAAAACGTTTTATACCTTGAACACACAAAATTACATAAACAAAAGAGCTTAGTAAGTTCCATACCGAATAAACAGTCACAAGAACACGAACCATCTTCACTCAAATCCTGCTCATGATTATTTATGTCGTTGCATTCGTTCTCATGAAACCCAATATTATTTAATGTAAGGTGCTGAGTAACTAGCGTAACATACATTCTCCGACTCAGATGGTGCAAACTTTTTTGCTGGTCAAATATTAGGCAGACCCCACACTCTCGGGTAGCGATGGTCACAAATTTTGAGGAAGCTGTCAAAGTGGCTTGGGTCGTACCATATAAAAACATGATCAGAATTCAACTCAGTGACAGCTTCATCGTACCATGTGGTTGCAGGTCCCAACATCGTACCATTTGCCAAGTAGCACAGACACCATATTTTAGCACCAAGGTTCTTCATTACTCGGGAGTGTGAAAGAACCACACACAAAGATAATCCCACCAAGTCAGATTGGGAAGAAAGAAGATCAATAGTGATTGAGGAATCCGTTGTTCGATATTTGAACTGCCCCGGGACTCTGCTTCCTGGGAAACAAACCTTCACAAAGTTGCAATTAATTTCGGTGTTGTCTTCAACTCCTTTTACAGACATATTCTCACTCGCCGTACCCTTGGTTGCTAACTGGGCCCCCTCCATAATGCAGTGGAGTGAAGGTTCATCCAATGCAACACAATTCTTGAATGAAATGAATTTTCTCTTAGCCATGATCATTGCACAAGTTGTTATAGTGGATACTGTCCTCAATGACCTGCAGTTCATGGCATTCAACTCTGTGACAAATGGTGGAAGCTCAGTTAGACTCCTAAGCTTCCTACAATTCTCTAAGGACAAAGTTTTCAGATGTCGTTGATGCTTGGTGCTAGCTGGTAATGTCTTCACACTGCTACCATCTAGTTTTAGCTCATATAATTTATATAAGCCGCTGATGTTGTCAGGGAGCTCACACAAGTTACAACAATCCTTCAAGTGTAGCAGTTGTAGAGATTTTGAACGACCAAATAATGCATGCAGAGTACGTTTGCTAATTGCTAGTCTACAATTACAAATCCTAAGCTCCGCAAGATCTTTTAGGAAAAATAAATCAACAGGAGCACATCTCAAATCATGTACATTGAGTGACCGGAGATTTCTAAGACGCCCAAATGCAGAAGAGTCCAACATTTTGATTCCTGTGCTGCTTAAATCCAAGCTTGTGATTGAATCCGATGACACTGAGAATTCACTGAGACTAGTGCAGCCATTCACACTGATCTTTTCCAGAGACGTTAAATGTTGCTCACTTTTAAGACTCTTGAGCCTTTTGCAGCCATCCAGTATCAAAGTTTCAAGCGTGTCAAAAGAGAAAACAGATGGATGAATATCACGCAAACTTTCACAGCCGGAGAGATTCACCCATTTAAGTCTTGACGCCTTAGACAAATCTGGGAGATTCTCCAAGTGCTTGCATTCACTTAAGTCAATTCGCACTAAATTTGCAATATCCTGCAACAATTCGAAAGGACTCATCACTGTTAAGACAAGCAATGGGCAGCGGAAGCATAAAACATTTCCATAAACTCTGCCGATGTGAATTCTCCACCTCTGTCCAACCTCAAAGCTTTGATTTGCTTGTTAGTCTCTTTCTCCACCATGACTTTAAACTTTTTAAAAGCTTTAAATGTCTTTGATTTTTCTTGCAAGAAATATACCCAGGTCTTTCGAGAGAAATCATCTATGAAAGAGATGAAATATTTCTTACCACTGAAGGATGCAGGAGAGATTGGTCCACACAAGTCAGTGTGTATCAGGCCAAGTTGCTCCTTT